AAAGAGTGAATGTATCTGCATTGTCATGAACAATTTTGAGCCATATTATTCGAAGTCTCTAATATTGGTTACAATGATCACGCTTACTGTTTCTCAGTATGAGCAGAAGGGTCGAGGAATTGCAGTGGCGATTCCAGGATGCAACAGTATTCGCCTTCTACATACATACAATAACTTCAGTTCGAAAAGTATCAAGAACGAACCTCTCCAAACTCTACCAATCTTCCTTAAAATGACCAAGCATGTTGATCTTCAAATAAATTGATGAATTCAGCTTAAAGTTAAAATGCATCTTAGTTCTTAAGACTACCACTGATGAAAATATAACCGTATCGTCTGGATACCCGAGTCGTGTTAGTCATGTGTAGACACCTTGGTTTCGGTTTGCGAGATAAGTATGATCGTTCGATAAATACCTTACATGGAATTATTCACAGAGTTGCTGATTTATACTTTAGTCACCTCTCATACCTTTCATTTCTTCTGTACCAACGCTGACCGAAGCGGGATTTCGGTATCCCATATCCTATCACGATCAGCAGTTATCTGTTGTGTATGGTACCATGTTATCCCACATGAATTATTCTAGCTTTCGGACAGATCTGTTAATTTATTCTTTTTCAGTCACATTTTGACCTTATCAGCTATTCGCTTATTAACCTAGACTGTTTGTCTTTGTGCGCATAGGTTTCCATCGCTTACCCTATTCATCACATGCCTTAAGCTTATTTTTGTCTGGTTTTAAATATTGAGTCATGCTCATTAAATGGAGTTTTCACACTTGCCTTCTCAGGTTTGGTTTTCTGATTCTCTGTCTGCATTATCAAGTGTATGAAATACGTATATCCAAAATTAGTTTCGTATTTGGTCTGTTTTATTCCGTTAACACGAAGTCGGTAATTATATACGAGTATTGGCGACATGTATATTTCGTTAACATCATCGTTCGATCGAATTGGAGTTATATCAGCGGGCCACAGAATATCATTCACATACTCATGTAACAAGTATACAGCACTATTACACACCTTCTTCAAAGACTTATCAACAGTTGCATACATGTTAAGATTAAAGAGAAGTGATAAGATAGAAAGTCCTTCTAATCTATTCCTGGTTTTGGGACAATGAAGAGATGTGGTTGTATTCCTTCGCTCTACTTGTTTTGTTTAGTTAGAGGTTTTGCAGATGTTAGTCGATCTTTACACGTTTTCTAACAGACAATGCTAAGGCGAACTCCTGTCTAATTAAATAAAGAAGTCTGTGATAGTGTTTGAACAGTTAACTTCAGGGTCGAACAATGATTAATGGGTTTAATACCTAACCGAAACATAACCTGCCTTTCATGAAATCAGTTATTCTTGTATTTTGTGCGGAATAGCAGAAGCCAATAATTTGCGTGTAACTTTAATGCACACTTGTAGCCAAACTGTTTTTATATGTATTATATTTGCCATTTGTGTGAGTGGTTACAACGATCTCTCCGATTTAAAGTGATTGTACACTGTGTAAACAACCTAGCTTATTCTTAGAGCATAATGTCTCTCACTTTTGAAAATTATCGTGGATAGTCTGTCTTTACTAAGTATTGTGTAGTGTCTATGTATTTGGAATTCGCTTGGTGCTTTGTTGTGTGATTCACTACACATTAGTTATTAAAAACAGAATAGGTTGATCGAAGTTGTTATTACAATAAGTCAACTAAATTTTCTTTTGAAATGACTCACTTATTGTCCAATCAATCCTTCAAGATTGACAACAGGCGTACCACCAACCTCGTAAATTATTTTGTTAACACCATGCTTCCCTCTAAAAATCCCAAATATCTTGTTCCACTGTATTCATTTGATTTCTTCTCCTTAGTACATATCAGTCCTGTTAACCATAATTTCTATGCAAACTGCTCTCCTTTGTCGGTTTTTTTATAATGTTCTTTTTTCTCGAATCATATTTTCTATACCTATTTTTTTAAATTATCACTGATACTGTTACTACCTCTAATACTCAGGCATTTACCTTGATAATTTCATCTTGGTTTTGATATGGCGTGATAACAACTGGAACCGATGCACTTATGTTCAATGTTCTACGTTGCTTATGCTCAAGTAGTCTACTGTCTGTTCATCTATGTGTGTAGTCATATGACATGTTATCCCCTGGTTGTGTTTTCTCTTATGAAAATATTCAACATCTGACCCCTTATCCAGGCGCTAATATTCACTCACCCTGGATTTATGATTGTAGTTGAAATAAAGCGTATTAAAATACCCAGCTTTACCATTACTCTTCCATGAAATGTTTCAACATTAAGTAATTTTCATTAGTATAATATTATTTATAACATATTGTGTTTTTTCTACTTACATTCTATTGGTTTACCGTTTTGTAACTATGCCGCTATGCTACTACCCTGATTATGCATGTCTTTCTGAACCATTGTCTCTACACCACTTTCAACCAGTTACAATCAGGCTTAAAATGTCCATTATTTAGTCCACTCTTTGATCACGTGTCTAATCTGTGAAAAATATGTAGACCAAACTAAATTTGGGACATTGTCTGTAGAGAACATAAACAAGTGTGTTACTATGATCGTTATCATCATTATAATGATTAACTATTAATTAATTTGTACTTGATCGCTGGTCTAGCATTTTGGTTGCTCAGATATTATTTTGTGGTGAGGTTTGTATGTATGTGAAGACGGTTTTTGCCACAGACTATCATTAACTGTTTGAAGTTATTGCCAACGTTTTCGATCTTCAACAAATGTAGTGTATCCAGCGCTTTCAACCATTTTACCGTTCATCTGGTGGGTGAGTGTCCGCATTGAAGTGTAATTTCCACTTAAGGTTTCATTTCAATTATTTAGAGTTATTCTCAACTGTTTGTTATGAACACGTCAATGGTAGCAAAATCTGAAACTCCTGATGGAAAACACATAGTCAAAGGTTAGGTCTTAAAATTAAATCTCTACTGAAAATTAAACTCTTGTTTACAATAGATTCATCCACTAAACAAACAGAAAATAACCGAAAACGCTAGGTACATCGCACTTATTCAAGATTGAAAGTATTGTAAATAATCTCACCCCATTAGCCGGAAAATGAGTATGAAAAATCAGGGATACATTGTGTTTGAACAGCTGTTTCATCCTAGTTTAGACTTCCTTTACAATCATCACATATTTTCCTCTACACATGTTCGGACTTAATACTCTTTCTGGTGTAGTGGTATGCACAAGATGAGCTGTTCAGCTTATATTCAATCCAATTTATCCTTTAATCAACTATTCTGTTATATTATTTTCTGCCTTATAAAATTGTCGATTGTCTCATTTTTAAGTTGTATAAATCCCATATGGCATTTAGTTCTAACCGCTTGACACATTACACTCTATTATAGCTCAATCAGATTAGAGCTTAGTAAACTAGAATTTGTGTGTACGCAATTATTTTAATAAGTTTTGATATGTTATTTTCTTTATTATTTTTTTACACTCAATTTACAAACCATACATATACAGTGAAACGAAAATTATTTTATTGGTACTGTTAAGATCAACTTCATTATTTACCAAGTGTTTGTAGCCTCTTGTTGTTAATGTTATGTACTGCAATTGGGCACTGCCAGGAAAGTCTTACTCACTGACTTCTCGCAGCGGGGGTCTTGTCTATGAAATTGAGAGGACAAAAAGCGAGTATCCGGTTATCCCAACTGCGTTGGTGAGTACGGAGGATCCATCTAAGAGAGTTGGGAAACCTGAATTCCAAATCATTGGTGGACATAGGCTCCAGATTCCTGAAGAAACAAATGATATATGGATTTATTTTTGGTCACCAGTTACCTTGGGGCTGCATCTCTTAAATTTCTTCCCTGCCTTGTGGACTAGAACTGTAGGTCAAAGGATCGGGGAGTCGTCCTAAGAAAACTATCTGCTTCGATTTAAGCGATCAGGCAGTATCTCAGTCCGTACACAAATTCATTGACGGTGGCTGAGAAACACTTAGGTTGGTCATATTAAGACAAAGCATCAATCCATGCCGCCAGCTACAGTTTATTACGATTAAAATAGACAGCTACGTTTGGCTGTTGTGATTGACGGTTTTCTGCACCTGAAACAAGTTAACAGCGAAAAACACTGATAAATGACTGGAAAACGAACTTCTACTTTTGTATTAGTTTTACTATCCACCACATATTGAATATTTCATAATATTGAACTCATATCTTTGTTATCACTTCATCTATCTTTTGTGGTCCTTTTAATTATTTTGTCTTTTTCAAGTGTTGCCTGTTATGCTCTTTGAAACTATAACGACTCAACCTAGCACATCTACTGATTTAATTTATACTTCCCTGTAAACTTATAAGTTTTGAAATTTTGCAAAAAATCTAGTACGTTTATTTGGTGATAGTACCATGATTAAGTTGCACTAAGCTGTAACCAGTAACAATGGGAATATTAGGATTTACTTCATTCGGTACGGAAATTTAAAGGAATTTTGTCGACTTACACCACTCTAGCACTTACTGAATATCCGTTTGTCTATCAAGTAAATGGAAGTACTACTCACTCGTCTTCTCACTGTCTGTGAAAAGAAGCCTATCAAAGCAGAAAACATAATTAAGCGGCAAGTATTCAATCAATAGGTTTATTTAAAACAAATAGAACATTATCAGAAGGGATTTTGTGGATATTATAGTAATTTTAGTAGTTGAGATCATGAGTCAATTGAGGCTAGACCACCACAAAAAACCTGAAAGCACTGAACGGCCGTTTCGTCTCATTGTGGGACTCCCCAGCATTGTAAGTGGCACAACAATATCTATTCATTCTCAATTTAATTAACAACTGAAATCTAGGATATTATGATTGACTGCGATCTTCTAGTCTAGTCATTTTTATCCAGCCCATAATTAAATATTTATTTTCATGAAAAAATATTTACAAATTTTGTAATTAGTGTTTTTTTCTGCCTTCACTCTTTTTGTGGTGATAGGACACTGCATCAGTATATGAGTGATGAAGTCGAATACGTTATAACAAGGTCCGCTTGGGATGTCGATTTTGATAATGTAAGTCTATATCCCTGCTTGTTGTTTGTCGCGATTCAAATTGCCCTTGTTTTTTTCGAAAAAGGGAAAAAACAATAGTCATAAGGAAATAAAACTGTATATCCATCAAAATTAGTTGCATATTTATTTTATCATTTGTATAGTGGGGTTGCCGGAGATTAGCGAATGTTATGGTTCATACCATGAATTGTCCTTAACTAGATAATCATTAAAAAGTAAGAAGCACTGGATAGTTGCTTCATTCTAGTATATCGTTTTATGCAGTGGCATTGCATAGCCATGCCCTCACGAGGGGTTAGACCTAGGACCCTTAAGTCTTTTGACGGGCACTTAAGCTTTAGATCATCCCATGATTTACATATTTGACTTCAATTAATTCGCGATATTATGTAATTATCTTTTAGTGTCATTGGTGGGTAACTAACTTCTCCGTAATCAACTGGTGGGAATATCTCATTTCCACAGGAAAGGCCTAAACAACTCAGTGGTGGCATCTCAGACTGTGAAACTGAATGACCCAGGTTTAAATTCATTTGGAAGTTTCAGTTACTTGAAATTTGCGGATACACCCTACTGACGATTGGTAACTAGGATGAAACTTTGGTTTAGAGTTTACTGCTGTCTTCTACCTAACATCAAAATGTAATTATAATGAAATGAAAGATAAATAATAATCACATGCTCACTAGTGACTAGCTGCGAGAGAGAATTCTTGGAGTTCTAATGAGAAACCGTGACTAGTGGAGTTCAATAGTGTCGGTCTTGAGGCAATTACCCACCAAAGACAATGGAAAATAGTCACTCAATGTTGTGGATTGATTGAAATTAGACATTAACACCGTTGCATATTAGCTCAGTGAAGTAGAATTTAAGCGTTCGCGCGCGAGACTGAAGGTCCTGGGTATGATTCTCACTTTCGGGATCGTCAACGTGCACTTCCGAAGAGTCTCATACTAGGACGAAACAGCTGTTCAATGCTCCTATGTTCTCAGTGGTAGTCTAACCTAGAATGGTTCATGATCTCAATGAAACTTAAGAATCTCCATAACTTTGTACTGATAATAATAATAATTAACTGGCTAGTAAACATTCGTATATATATGTGTATGGAATTCATCTTGTAGTCTGTTTTTTATTATGAATCTAATAATTAAGGTCATTACACTTGATTCAACTCATTTTTGTGCGTGGTTAAATCATTATTAGTGTTAGAAACATAAATAAATATCATCTAATCGAATCGAATAAGTAAATAATCTTTTTAATCCTATCTATAGAATTTTGGTAATGAACAAAATGTTTGGTGCGTATTATTACTGATATTATTGCTAGCGTCACTACCATCCGATATATATATATAATGTACTCTTTATTTGATTCCACCATTACTAAGCCAACTTTTTTTATAAACAGTTCTGTTTATTTAGCGCGTAAATCGTAGCACTGCAACATGAATCGTTTAATTTTTCAAGATAATTTATTATCAACTAGAGAATTATTGAAGAGCATAGTGTTGTACTGTAGATTCCTGTGAAAGTTCATACCTTCAGACCACTTAGTGGGAATTCAATAACGCACATATATAACTTTAGTATGTTCGTAATTTATACAGCAGGATTTTCACCCAATGTTGTCGATCATTTCTGTTCTTCTCCTGACAGAGATGAATCCTACTGATAAAGTTTGTGTGGCGGTAATCCTTAGTTGTTAGTGATTTTTTACCGAATGCCGGTCTGTGTTAATGATAACAACTAAATTCAAATCGAACATTTTTCAAAATCTCAATTTCGTGATGATAATAATAATAATAAAACATTAGAACTTGTTAAGGCAGTTGAAGTTAACACATTGTAATAATGGAATTGGGATTAGGTAGCACATGTACCCGACCTCAGTCAATACTCCACTACTCTCCTTCTTCAGAGTTGATTAGTCAGTGCTTCTTGTTAGAACTCCAAGAAAGTCTCTTGAAGTTAATTATTTGTGAGCACATTATCATTATGATTACTAAAATAAAGTTTTTAATGGTTCTCCAGCTGATTTCAATCCACTATAAATCAGTGAATTTATATTTTATCAACGAGCCAATCATGCTTGAGTTGGCGGGTCTTCGGTTTGTACACGAAATTCAAAATACAGTGACAGTTTGTACGCTATAAAAAACCTAGTAGATGGTATCTTCATTCAATGCTCGAAACTCTTGAAATCAACGAGAAATTTGTCTGTTGTGCAGCCATACACTGAATTGGACATTGTGTAACGTCTAAACTGATTGTTAAGGAAGCTTAGTATTATAAATCCGTTCTTCTTCTGGTTATTCTAATTTCATAGCTAAACGATTTCATTATTAACATGGTGAATAATATAAACCTTCGTGTCGTATAAACTACTTGAAATGTCGGAAATTATGCTGGCAGGTGTTTATTGTTGTCATAGTTACTTTTTCACTGTCTTTTTAAACCATATTCTCAATGTTCAGTCTTCATGAACATTATTTTTGATAGGTTGTTTCAATTCTTTTGCTATTCATCTCATTGTATTGTACGACAACTTGAACCAACAAACATATATGCCAGATTCTAATTTGTTCTTGTCTGACTCAATAATGTTTAGTGGCGTAACTCGACAAAACTTTCAGGGAGTATTCACACGAATATTGTAGAAATTGTAAAAAAAATACAGATTATAAAAGTGTTTATAAGTTTTTAAAAAATAACTCAAGTATAAACTAATCATATTGTGAACGCGATATTTTCGTAATAAAAACAGTCTACCTTTAAATATAGAAAACCGACCACAAACCTGCAAAAAACCAATATACACCTTAAGAACACTACCTAAATTTGAACATCGTTCTACTTTTTCATAAGAAACTCTTGATTCGCAGAGTCTATTCACTCATAGGCTTAAGTGAAGTATATATATAGTTCCTGAAGTTGATACCACTTTCCCAATCGACATGATTGATGAATAGTTTTCTTATTAGCTAACACTCATTGAGTATGTAAAATCGGACGAATACAGATAGACAGACAAATAGTTAAGAAGTGATGATTAGTAGTTCCAAAAAACTATTTCAAAAATATGAAACGATCCAAGTAACTTCGTTTTACCATTATTGTGGAGGGTGACTTATGGAGATTTTTTGATTTCATTTTTAACATCACAAACTGATCTTAGTTGAAGAACCATTGGAAACCAGGAAGCATTGGACGGCTGTTCTGTTCTAGTATAGGACTCCTCTTCAGTGTACACCCACGATCATACTACTGGGGGGGCGGACCAAACTCAGGACCTTCTTGGTACAGGGACTCATACCCTCTGAACCAATGAACCAGCGCCCAATGTCCTACATTCCTAGAGGTTAAGCGTTCGTATGCGAGACTAAATATCCTGAATTCGATCCTTTGAGATGTGATCGTTGATATGCATTGCTGAGGAGTCCCGTACTAGAACGAAATAATTGTCAAATGCTTCCTGGTTTTTACTGGTTATTTAACTGAGATCAGTCTGATGTTAATTACAAAAATAAAAGAAATTGAATCATTTTCAACAAAAAATTGACAATCATAAATAGTTTTGTCTATCACTGATGAAGGTAGCAACAATCAGACAACCTTGAAATAAAAGTACACACGAAGGAGAACGATATGGCTAATTCCATCAAAAAGCATAATAGGTCTTATTATTATTGTCTCCTGTCCTATAAACAGTGTTTATTGTTTATTTCTCCTTTAGTTGACTACGAAATTCGTTTTAAGTTTTTTACATCATAGCCTTTGGATGTAACAATGAAAAAATTCCAGGCTTAAATACATTGATGTATTGGTTAGTGCTTCTTATACATCATTTACTTACATAAGCCTATTGCCATTCTTAGGGCATAGGCCACCTATACATCACTTGCATTTAAGCATATTGATTATGTGCAAATATTCCTTCTCAGTGACTAGAGTTAACCAATCAGAAGTCTTGTGAAGATGTTCTGTGTTATAGACAGAAATGATCACTAATTAACACTAGCACCCTAGCTGGTTACCTGTTTTACTAAACAACAATCCCTAAACTAATTTTGAATGCATCGAGTTTTAGCGTTCATTACAACCCATTCAACATTCAGTTGAATAATGAGTTGGCTGGTAAAGCAAAGTTGTAAGCTGAAATATTATTCTCTTCAACAGTAATCAATTTCAGCGACAATTTCATTGATTATCACCGTCTATTGATAACGTTTTTTCACTAGCCTATCAAAAGAAACTATTTTGTTATAATTACTTTTAAACGCACTAAATTGAATACACATACACAAAATCGTTTGCACTAGTCCCTATTGCTTTGCGAACTGTATGTTGTTACTAATACTGTAGTGAACGAAAACTCCAGTAGGGAAAATCAATTTTTTGTTTAATGCAAAATCACAAAGTGGCTTAGTGAAATATGAAAATCATACATTAAATACATCATTTGCACATTTTCTTTTTGTTATCCTTTACACACTCCATTATTCCTCTGATTTAGTTGGCATTTCGATTTCTCTCTGATTGTCTTCCTGTTCTCCTGGTTGCAATTTTCTTCTGCGAGGCATTTCACTCCCAATTGGTGTTACATAATACTTATTTCTGTTAGAGTAAGCAGCATACAACACATACTACTACTGTTGCTTTCTATGTTTACTTATACACTTTATGATACTTGTGTACCATATTTTAGGTCAGATAAGCTGACTGTCTGATTTGTGTAAAAAGCGGATTTTCATCATCTACGTTATTTTAAAGAAATTAGATTGCTAGGCAAGACTAAAACAAATAGCGAACAAGTTATTTGAAATAATAATTATTATTTAGATAGTGTGATCCCTTCTAGATCTCTTAACTAAATATATATTACATACCACGTGGAAAATACACTGTTTAAAATGGAGATTTTAAACTACTTATTATGTTGTATCGTAATTCGGAAGAAAGAGTAAGACTGTCTACTTTTCAAGTTTCCTAAATATT